AAAACAGGAATTTACAAGATGGATGACAAACATTTGTTTTCCCTGTCCTCCCCCAAGCTGCCCAGATGGCTGTAATCAGTCTTTGCTTAATTGTAGCACCTAGATGGGAGTTTAGGAATGTAGCTGCAGAGCAATCGGAGTGGTGGGGAGGGGGTCAGCTCGTCCCTGACATTCCAGCCTTTTAATAGGCAATAGAGGAGGGGCTCCATGGTCATCTGGCTGCTTCTTGCTGAAAAAGGGCGACATTTAGGAGGAGCTAGAGAGTAGGGATTGTCATTCCTGGAGCTGTCGGTATTCTTGGAGCAGCATCAGATCTTCTGTTGTTCCATGGGTGAAAGCTTAATACGGTCCTGTAAAAACCAGGTGAGGAATTGTTAAAAGGCAGGGGCCAAATGCTAGAAGGAGGAAAAGGGTTATGGCAGGACCTAGGAAGGGCAGTAGCCAGGGTGTTCAGGAGATACGGAACTACTGGGGCCAGGTGAACTGATTGTCTTTAAATTTTTGTGCTTGGTCTTTGAGTTTTTTGACAGCATTTCATACTAACCCCGATTCAGTGACATAGAAACAGCATTGTTCATCTAAAAAGAGGCATAAATGTCTTTTTTCAGCAGTGAGATTTAGGCCTTTGCGGTTTTGTAGGGTGATTGCTGCTAAAGAGTCTAGTTGATGGCCAGGTGCAATGGCTCACACCTGTAATCCCAGCACTTTGGGAGGCTGAAGTGGGCAGATCATGAGGTCAGGAGATCAAGACCATCTAGCTAATACTGTGAAACCCCATCTCTACTAAAAATCCAAAAAAAAAAAAAAAAAAAGCCAGGGAGGCGGAGGTTGCAACGAGCCAAGATTGCACATTGCACTCCAGCCTGGGCTACAGAGCGAGACTCCATCTCAAAAACAAAAAAAAAACCCCGACACTAGTTGTGACTCCAAGGGCTACTAATAAGAGAATGATCTGGGTTTTTTTTTTGGTGGCGTGGGTGTGGTGCATGCAGCGTTAATGCAAACAGACAAATGAATTGAGAATAAGTGTTGGAGTGTGTAGCTTTCTCATTTGGAGGGAGTCAGTTTAGCTTCAGCAACCCAGAGTGACCCTTTGAGAACTCCTGTCTGGGAAAGGGGTTTCCATGTTTGAGAGGCAGGAGGGGAGGTAATGTGGAGGGGCTGGGTAAGAAGCCGTTAGCTTCAGGGAAAACTGAATAATCTACTCAGAGTGAGGTATGCGAAGAGGGATGAGAGATGGTTTCAGCTGAGCCACAGGCAGAGGGAGGGATGGTGCCTACATGTCCATCGGAAGAGGTGACACGTAAGACGGCTTGGCCATGCTTTGTGGTGTGGCGGGTTATGGGAACTTGGATAGCAGGGTGAGGGAGTTTTGTGCCATTGTAATTGGCAGTATATGTGGAGAGAAGGGTTTGATAGCTCTGTTAGTGAGGGCAGTGGGATGGTTCCCAGTGAGGGTGAGGGCTCTGTCTGCAAAGGCAGAGCCTTTTTGGACAGTGTATGAAAAGCAAATGGGAATGTGGTACCAGGGCTGAGAAATTGGGGTGGCTGAGTAGGCAGCAGAGGGAAGGGAAAACAGATCCAGCAATGGGAAGCAAGGGTAGAGTTGGAGCATAATAACAATAAGTGAGTGAGATTGAGAGATTGTTCGAGGCTTGAAGTGAGAAGGGAGTGAGATTGAGAGATTGTTCGAGTATTGTAGAAGTGAGAAGGGACTTTGAGGGAGCAGAGGTGGGGTATTAAAAGAGTTAGGAACTTGGTGCTGGGTGTGGTGGCTCACGCCTGTAATCCCAGCACTTTGGGAGGCTGAGGTGGGCAGATCACGGGGTCAAGAGATCGAGACCATCCTGACCAACATGGTGAAACCCTGTCTCTACTAAAAAATACAAAAATTAGCTGGGCATGGTGGCACACATCTATAGTCCCAGCTACTCAGGAGGCTGAGGCAGGAGAATTGCTTGAACCCAGGAGATGGAGATTGTGGTGAGCCGAGACTACACCACTGCACTCCAGCCTGGCGCCTGGCGACAGAGTGAGACTCTGTCTCAAAAGAGTTAGGAACTTGGGGAAGAATTGGAGTCTATGTTTGGCGGAAAGGAGCTTATAAGGGTTAGGAAATACCGGATGGATGGGAAGGACCGCCTGATTGATAGCCCAGAGATCTCGGACTGGCCAATATGAGCCATCGGCCTTTGTGAAGGGGAATATAGGGGTATCGTATGGAGAATAAGTTGGACTAAGGTGGCCTTGACAAGAGGAATCTGTTTACGATGGGTCATACGTCTTTTAGGTGTATTAATGAAATAGGATACTGAGAGACATTAGGAAATTTGGAGGGGTCTTTTAGCTGGATTTTGATGGGATCATGGTGAGCTGCTAGTGAAAGGATAATGGTATCCTACACTATTAGATTAACAAGAGAACTGGGGTGTGGATATTGAGGGGAGGGGTAGAGGACTGGCGGGCGGCAGAGGGGAGTAGGAGAGAATCTGGTTGTGGGAAACAGAAAAAGGTGATGGAAGCTTTGAATTCGGTTAAGAGGTCTCTGCCTAGGTTGGGGGTAAAGCAATGAGGCATGATAAGGAAGGAGTGTGAGAAAACAGTATCAAATAGGGAACAAGTAAGAGTGTGTGGTGTGTGGGCATGAGATGAGCCCCCACAACTGAGACCTGAGAGGGATGAGCGGGTCCTGAGAATTCAGGCAAAGCTGAGTACGAGGCCACGGTATCAATTAAAAAAAAGAGATCAGTTTACCTGCTACTAGTAGAGTTACCCTGGGCTCCAATGCAGTGATGGCAGATGGGGCGGGGGCCCTGGGCCTCGTCGGTCTTTAGCGGCTAGGCCGAAGAGCTGCGGGAGCGCAAGCGAGTCTTCACTTTTTGTCTTGCTGAATCTGTGGTGGCTCTGCCATGCAGGCTTTCTGTCTGTGCGTTGAGAGGACAGTCAGACTTCCAGTGGCCTGTCTGCTGGCAGACTGGGTAAGGGCTTTTAGGCACTCGTGGGTTAGGACATGCCTACGCCCAGTGGCCTTCTTTGCTGCACTTAAAACAAGGCCCTGGAGGGCCACTGCTATGGGGTCTTTTGTCACCTTGGGTACTATGGCTAGGCTGACAGCCGCACCTAGAAGCTGGTATTTAGCATGATCTTTCTGGGCTTTATCTAATTTACTCTGCTCATCCCTGTTATGGAAGACTTTGAAAGCCAAGTTAAGGAGGTCTTCTTGTGGGGTTTGAGGGCCATCTTCAGCCTTTTTAAGTTTGCATTGGATGTTGGCGGCAAATTGGCAGATAAAATTGGTACTAAGAACAATAGTTCCACCAGACGCAGTGGCTCATGCCTGTAATCCCAGCACTTTGGGAGGCTGAGGCGGACAGATCACCTGAGGTCAGCAGTTGGAGACCAGCCTGCCCAACATGGCGAATCGCCATCTCTACTAAAAATACAAAAAAAAAAAATTAGCCGGGTGTGGTGGCAGGCATCTGTAATCCTAGCTATTCAGGAGGGTGAAGCAGAAAAATAGCTTGAACCGGGGAGGCGGAGGTTGCAGTGAGCCGAGATTGCGCCACTGCACTCTAGCCTGAGCAACAAGAGCGAAACTATCCTCAAAAAAAATAAAAAAGAACAATAGTTCCTTCTCAGGAGGCAGGGTTGATGTGAGTGTATTTTTGGAGAGCCTCTGTAAGGCAGGAAAGGAACTGGGCAGGATTTTCATCTGCTTTTTGGGAAATTTCTTTCTTTGAGGTTTTTAAAATTTACGGCCTTATATGCAGCTTTGTTAAAGCCTGCAATAAGGCAAGTAATCATATGGTTACAGGTTGCCCGGCCAGGGTCTGTGGGTTCATACCCCCAGGAAGGCTTTTCCCGGGGGACGGCAGCAGCTCCTATAGGCTTAGTAGGATCTTGCCAGTGAAGATTGTCGGCATGTGCCTGGGCTGGAAGCCACACTCTTCCGTTCTCTTCCGAAAGGAGGGTAGATGAGAGGATAATATAGAGATTATGCCAAGTGAGTTTATAAGACTGGGTGAGCTATTTTAATTCTTTGATATAAGTATCATGATCAGAGGAGAAGGATCCAAGACTTTTTTCAATCTGGGACAGATCGGAGAGGGAGAAGGGGATATGGACACAGGCAATTCCTTCAGCCCCTGCTATCTCCCAGTGCGGAAGCAAGGGAGCTGGTTGCTGGGCATGCTGGGCTTGGGAACAGGAAAGGGGTGGAGACGGGGAGGACTTGGAGTCAGAAGTGGGGTAGTTGGAACTGGGGAAGGGGTAGGGCTGGAGCGGGGGCGTACAGTAGAGGATCATGATGCCCTGGTGGGGGATTATGATGCTGTTGAGGAGGAGGAAAATTGGCGGGGTCAAAGAGGAGTCGTCAGCTGGGGCTGTGGGGAGTGTGGCAGGAGACCAGTTGTCAGTGGGGCCATGGGGAGGGTGACAGGGAGAGTCAGGTTTGGAGCAAGGGAGGAGAATCTGAAAAGTAGGACAGGACTGACAGAGAGAAAGACAGCTACAGAGGGTGAAGAAAGCCTGAACATAAGGAATCTCAGACTATTTCCCATTGTGACGGCAAAAGTTGTCTAAGTTTCTAAGTATATTGAAATTAAAAGTGCCATTTATTGGGAGCCATTGTCTAATTTCTATTGAGGCCAAGCAGCATTACAGAAAAATATAAGCCTCTTAGGATGGGCCTTAGAGGCCGAGAGCATTGAGATTACATAGGAGACACCCAAGGGGGTTAGTTTTGGAAGGCGTAGACTGACAGGCACCCACATCAGATAGGAGAGGGAGGTAGAGGAAGAAGAGACTGCCGATTGACAAGGCCTGTCTGTCAGGCCTTGTTCAGAATAGAGGAGGTAGCTGCTGAGTCCCTGAAATGAAGGAACCAGAAGCCTGGAGGCTGGAGGAAGCCCTTGGCCCAGCGCTGGGTGTTTCAGGAAGGCAGAGAGGGTCAGGGGTTCCGGGTAAGCGGCAAGAGTCTCTCCTTCTCACCCCAGTGGAGGCTCTAATGCTGGATGAGGTGGCTAGCAACGGGAGAGTCTGGGAGATCCTTGGCAGGCTCTAGAACAGGAGGGTGGGTGGGAGAGAAGTGATAGAAGAGGGAAGGAGGGATAGAGGGAGAGAAAAAGAGCCCTCTAAGGGTGCCCAGCCAGAACCTACTCCATCCAGGATTTCGGCACTAATATGTAAGGTTAGTCGAGAGAAAGGAGTATAGACCCAAAGTCAGGCAAGCTAGTTTTATTAACCTGCAGGGCTGCCCCATAACAATTAGAGGAGGCAGCCCCGAGCTTACAAAATGAAGGGTTTATGTGGGGTGAGAAGGGCATAAGGGAGTTTCAGGACTGAGATAATCTATCAGCTTGTAACAGGCAGAGATAGTTTGTTAACTTGTGACAGACTTACAAATCATCATCTTGTGACTTTTGTGGCAGCAGTTTAAAAAAAAAAAGATTTTTACAGGTATGTGTAAAACAGGAATTTACAATTATGGATAACAAACATTTGTTTTCCATTTCCTCCCCCGAGTTGCCCAAAATGGCTTAATTGTAGCACCTAGATAGGAGTTCAGGAATGCAGCTGCAGAGCAATCAGAGTGCTGGGTGGTAATGGTGGGGGGAGGGTGGGCATCAACTTGCCCCAGGGGGTGTTCTGAGGAAGCTTATCCCTAACAAAGAGCAAACTGAATTTCTAAAGCTGTAACTATGTAGCTAAAATGTACACCAACATCCATCTTTACCTTATATTATCTTATTTCTATTTATTGTACCTATTAATCCCTTACAAGACTGTTCTTATTTATTGCTTTTCTTGAAATTTTCAGGTAATCCTTACAGATATGAACTGCTTGATATTCCCATGGATTCAAAGAAGAAAGCGCTGACTTGGCCAGGTCAGGGTGTATATTATGATGTAAGTATCTTTTTAAATGTGTGTTTAATTTGCCCTTGAATTTTTTTCTTTCTGCTTTCTTTGATAAAACTAGTTGTGAAGCAAATGGAAGCATAAATATAATGAGTTTGTAAAAGAAAGTTAAAAATATTTTTAGTTAATATATTTATAAAAATCTAGGCTAGTCATGGTGGTACATGCCTGTAATCCCAGCACTTTAGAAACCAAGGTGGGCAGATTGCTTCAGATCAGGAGTTTGAGACTAGCCTGATCAACATGGTGAAACTCTGTCTCTACTAAAAAATACAAAAATTAGTCAGGCGTGGTGGTGCATGCCTGTAGCCCCAGCTACTTGAGAGGCTGAGGCAGAGAATCACTTGAACCTGGGAGGTGGAGGTTGCAGTGAGGCCAGATGAGCTACTGCACTCCTGCCTGGGTCACGGAGTGAGACTCTATCTCAAAAAAAAAAAAAAAAAAAAAAATATATATATATATATATATATATAAAAGATTTTTATTTTCTATCTGAATAAAAAATTTGAGATTTTGACTATGATTTTTATTTTTTAATTTTCTTAGCTGATTTCATGTACTTTTGGTAGTTATGGAACATTCTATAGTTACAAAAAAAAAAAGCCGGGCGCGGTGGCTCACGCCTGTAATCCCAGCACTTTGGGAGGCTGAGGCGGGTGGATCACGAGGTCAAGAGATCGAGACCATCCTGGTCAACATGGTGAAACCCCGTCTCTACTAAAAAACTACAAAAAATTAGCTGGGCATGGTGGCGCGTGTCTGTAGTCCCAGCTACTCAGGAGGCTGAGGCAGGAGAATTGCCTGAGCCCAGGAGGCGGAGGTTGCGGTGAGCAGAGATCGCGCCATTGCACTCCAGCCTGGGTAACAAGAGCGAAACTCCGTCTCAAAAAAAAAAAAAAAGATTGCCCCCAGGAAGATGGTAGGGGAAGGGCTGCACTGTTCACACTGTGTTCCTCAAACCCTATCCTACGACTTATAGTACATCCAGTAGCTCCAAATATGCATAGAGTAAATGGGAGAGTTCCTGAAAGATTTACAAGCTATTATTGTTCCAACCATTATTAGTGTAGCAGGAGTGGCTGCAGGAAATGGATCTCTCTCGGACACCGAATACAGAGGGAAGGAGTTTATTCTGCCGGGAGCAAGGAGGCATAGTTGCCTAACAGCCAAGCTCCCCTAACGAAGGAAGGTTCCTTCTTTATATAGGCTTATACTTTAGATGTTACACATGGAAGAATCTTAGGTTTATAACTTAACATATGAAAAGGGTCTCTGTTTACAGTCTCAGGAATTACATATGAAAAGGATCTCAGTTTAAGGTCTCAGGAATTACATATGAAAAGGGCTTCTGTTTACAGTCTTAGGAATTACATATGAAAAGGGTTTCGGTTTACAGTCTTAGGAATGAAAAGGGGAAGTTTACAGTCTTGGGAATGAAAAGGGGAAGTTGATCTGAGATGCCTGGGTCTCCCTCTTCCTTAGCACATTGGTGTCAAGTCTAAAATGAAATAAAACAGTAGCCACCATTTATTGAGAAATTGGTACACACCTGACTACTCTAAATACAATACATCATTTAACCCTTTCAATAACATCCTAAGGTTAGCATCATAATTTCCATTTTGTAGATTAGGAAACTGTGACTCAGAGTTAGTGACTATGTCATGATCACAGAACTCAAGTTTGTGTGGTTTTAGTCTCTGACTTTAACCTCTGTCCCATAACTCCACATGGATAAAAAGAAAAAATTATAAATCAAGTGGAAAAATATCTAGACATTTGAAAATAATAACAGCTAACATGGTTGGTGAGAAGCGGTGCCAGGTGTTGTCCATATATTATCTATTGTCATCCAGCAATCCATGAGATAGGCAAGTGATAATTTCGGAAGGTTAGAAACATTTGAATTTTGCTTGACAAACCATTATGGCAGGCCCAGCATGTGGTCACCGCCATGTCACACAGTCATCTATAAAGTAAGTCATTTCCCATTTGTTT